GAAAGTGAGAACTTACCCCTCCCTCTGGGGAGGGATGACCATGCCTCAGTCCCTTCTCCACTCTCCTCTCAGGAATGTGGGCACACATGCATATGCACACGCGTGCGTCCAGAGTGTTTTTTAAACTATCAGGTCCCAGGACTGAAACTGTGGTCATAACATCCTTCTTTTTTTACTACTTAATTTTATTTATTTAATTTGATCAGAGAGGTACAGAATGAGAGCAAGCGAGAGGGTTGGAAAGTGAGAAAGCGAGCCACCAGGTCCAGGACTCGGACTGTGTTCGGCCATGTAGGAGGCCAGCACCTCTTTGTTTTTTTTTGAGAGGTTTTTGCTTATAGGGCACATGTGCTTGCCAGAAAGATAGAGAGAGACAGACAGACAGAGAGAGACAGAGAGACAGAAAGCGAGAAATCACCCCCAGGAGGGATGGCCACGCCGCAATCCCTTCTCCTCCATTCTCCTCTTGGGATCTTGGGCATGCCCGGCATGAGTTTAAGCCGCCGGGTCCGGGACCTGAACCACAGTCGACTACATGGGAGTCCAGCGACATAGCCATTACGCTAACTGCTGGTCCTCTCTCTTATTTTTTTTAAAAAATAATTATTTTATTTAACTTTATTTATCCATTTATTTATTTATTTTAATTTGACCAGAGAGGGATTGAGAGAGAGAGAGAGAAAGTGAGAAAGCAAGCTGCCAGGTCCGGGGAACTTGAACCACAGTCACCCAAGTGGGAGTCCAGTGCCCTTAGCCACCACGCCACCTGCCAGCCTGACTTCCCTCTTTTAAAAAATTTATTTGAACCGGCCAAAGTCAACACGTGGAGGCCATGGTGACAGTGAGCACAGCTGCTTTGCAAATTCAACATGCCAGCAACTTTTGGCAGTAAATCTTAATATTTTTTTAATTTTTAAGAGTTTTTTTTTTTTTCTATAAAGAAAGGGCAAACATGCTCACTGGAGAGACAGAGACAGTGAGAGGAAAAGTCAGAAATTACCCCCCAGGGGAAATGAAGACAGTGCAATCATTGCTCCTCCATTCTCTAGGGATTTGGGGCACACACGCACACGCGCCCTGTGTGAGTTTAGGGCCAACAGATCCAGGACTTGAACCGCGCTTTGTTCGCCATGTGGAAGCCCAGAACCTTAACCACTATGCCATCTGCTGGCCCCCTGGCAGTGACTCTTGCCCTGAAATACTGCTTGTCAGAATGATCTGCTTATGACACCGACTTCTGGAACGGGGCCAGGCCACGCCATGGGGCCCTGGATGACCCTATAGGTCGGAGTCCTGGAACCCCTCTTGGTCAACCCCATGGGAGAAGTAGAGGGCTGGAAAGTCCCCAAGGGGGAATGGGGCTGTCATGTGCAGGGGTCAGTGAGCAGGCAGAAAACAGGCACGCCGTGGAAGGACGTGGGTTCCTAGAGAACGCCAAGGAAGAAGTCAGCTGCTGGCATGGAAGTTAAGGCGCTGGGTCCCACACGGTTAACCGCATAGTTTGAGTCCCGGACTGGCATCTTTAAAAACGTGCTGGGCGCCTGTGCATGGTGCCCCAAATCCTGAGAGCAGAATGGAGCAGGAGGCATTGCGGCAGGCTCATCACACCCTGGGGGGGCCTCCTCTGTCTCTCTCTCTCCAGCAAATGCATGTGCCCTGCAGCAAGCTTAAAAGAAAAAAGAGGGGGCTGGCTGGAAGCTTGGTGGTTAAGGCGCTACACTCCTACATGGCTGGCTTTGGGTCAGGTCCCGGGTCTGGCAGCTTGCTTTCCAACTTTCTCTCTCCCTTTCTGTCTCTCTCTGGTAAAATTTAAAAAAGAAATAATAGGGAACCAGCAGTTAGTGTAATGGCTATGTCGCTGGACTCCCACGTAGTCGACCGCGGTTCGCGTCCCGGACCCGGTGGCTTAAAACTCATGCCAGGCACGTGTGCGTGTGTGCCCAAGATCCTGACAGGAGAATGGAGGAGAAGGGATCGCGGTGTGACCATCCCCTCTGGGGGGTGATTTCTCGCTTTCTGTCTCTGTGTCTCTCTCTGTCTGTCTGGCGAGCGCACGCGCCCTGTAGTGAAAACCTCTCCAAAAAAAAAAAAAAAGAAAAAAAAAAAAGAAATAATAAATAAAATTAATTCTTTCTTTTTTTTTTTTTTTAACCAAAAAAGAAGAGAAAAAAAGAAAATTTCAAGGAAGACACTGCAAAGCGAGGGACCCAGGGCAGGAACCCCACTGGCTGGGTCTGAGGGTGTGACTGAGTGGTCTTCTGCGTCCAGACCACAGGCGCTGGAGACACAGGGAAAGACAGACACTCCCGGTTCTGCGAGCTGACGGGACATGACACTACAGCGCGTGTAGACAGCTCTTGAGGAATTTTTCTGTGAAAGGCCGCCACCGAGGGCAGAAGCTGGAGGTAGGAAATCACCTCTTTTAAGGAGAGATTTAGGGGCTAGCAGGTGTCATGGTGGTTGGGGTGCTGGATTCCCACATGGCTGACTCGCTTTGAACCCTGGACTTGGCTGCTTGCTTTCCCATGTTCCTTCTCTGTCTCTCTATAATCAAAAGTAAATAGTAATAGGGGGACCAGCAGGTGTCGTAGTGGTTAAGGCGCTGGACATTCCCACATGGACAACCAGGGTTCAAGTCCTGAATCTGGTGGCTTGCTTTCTCACTTCCTCTCTCTCTCACTCTCACCCTCTGTCTCTCTCTGGTCAAACTGAAAAATAAAATGAATGAATAAATAAAATAAAATAAATAATTATAAAAAAATTAAATACATAAATAAATAGTAATAGGGCCCAGCAGTTGGCGTAATGGCTATTTCGCTGAACTCCCATGTAGCTGACCGTGGTTCGAGTCCAGAACCGGTGGCTTAAGCTCACTCCAGGCGCCTGTGCCTCTGTGCCCAAGATCACAAGGAGAAGGGATTGCGTTGTGGCCATCCCCCCTGGGGGGGTGTCTTCTCACTTTCTGTCTCTCTGTCTCTCTCCATCTCTCTCTGGCGAGCACAGGCGCCCTATAGCAAAAACCTCTCCAAAAAAAAAAAAAAGAAAATTAAATAGCAATGAAATAAAATGTTAAAAAGAAGAGAGGGACCAGCAGTTAGCATAATGGCTATGTCGCTGGACCCCCATGTAGTCGACTGCAGTTTGCGTCCCGGACCCAGTAGCTTAAAACTCACGCTGGGCACGTGTGCGTGCATGCCCAAGATCCCGAGAGGAGAATGGAGAAGGGATTGCGGCGTGGCCATCCCCCATGGGGGATGATTTCTCGCTTTCTATCTCTCTGTCTCTGTCTGTCTGGCGAGCGCACGCGCCCTATAGCGAAAACCCCTCAAAAAAAAAAAAAAAAAAAGAGAGATGTGGGCTTCAGTAGGTGGCATGGTGGTTAAGGCATTAGACCTCCACATAGCCAACCGAGGTTCAAGTCCTGGACCTGGCAGCTTGCTTTCTCACTCTTTCTCTGGTGAGCACACATGCCCTGCAGCAAATTTTTAAAATAATGATAAATAAAATTAGAACACAACTTTAAAAAAAGAGAGAGAGATTGAGATTTGTGTGCTGAAGAACCGACGGGGAGAAAGGCGGCGGGGTGTGCGGGCGGAGTCTGGGGCTGAGAGGCTGCGGTTGGGCGCACTCACGTGCGTTTCGGCAGCTCCGGTGGCGTCCTTGACCTTGCCGAAGATCACCTCCATCTGGTACATGTTCCAGCGGTGCCGCAGCTCCTCCTCCTTGGCGTGCACGCTGTCCTGGGTCGTGTCGTCGGACTGCAGCAGCAGGTGCTCCCGCTGGGTCTGTCCGGCGTGGGAGTAAGAGCCACGGTCAGCTCGCGGGCAGGACCATAGCGCGGGGACTGGGGAGGGGTATCCAGCCTGGGGCCCGGGAGGGGACGGGGCTCAGTCTGCGAGGGCAGGGCGGAGGGCGGTACAGGGCAAAGGCTTGAAGGCAGGTTAGGGTACGCGGGAAGGCGGGTGGGACGTCCCAGCCTCGGAGCCAGGGCAGAGGGGCGGAGTCAGGAGAGAGGGCGGGGCCTTAGGTACAGCCCACCCAGAGGGAGGGTCAGATTCAGAACAGGGGGAAGGATCGGCAGGGACCACGGTTGAACGGAAGGCTGGAGACCAAGTTAGAGCCAAAATGGAGCAGTCAGGTGCAGGCGGAGAGGAAAGGGGGGGTGGGCGGAGCCCTTGCTTTCATTGGGGGTGGAGCCAGAGAGGGGGCGGAGCTAGGAGATATGCCAAAGATCTAGGACGGGGGCCGTGGGGACGTAGCCGAATCTGGTCACCGCTGGGCTGTGGCGGGCCGGCGGCGGCAGCCCCCACACCCCGGGCGCGCCCACCTTGCGCTCCATGCGCTCGTTCTGCAGTTTCCTCTCCTCCGCCCGCTTCTTGCAGTCGGTGATGTAGCGCTCGCGCTTCTTGCGCTCTCGTATCACGTTCTCCTCCAGGTACTGCAGCTGGTTCTGGGGTGGCCAGGGGGACCAGCTAGGACGCGGTGCGGCTACTGGCGGGGAACCGCGTCCCAGGTCTAGCAGGGTGCTGGGAGATAGACGGGAGGGGCTCGGGGCCGCCCGAGTTCAGATTCTGGGGCAGAGAGGCCATGACAGCCGGGCTGGACCCCCCAGGGGCAGGCGGGTGGCACCTTGGCAATGTCCCGGGCATTGAAGGCCTCCTGGTTCACCACGTGCAGCTGCTCCAGCTCGTGCTTGGTCTTCACCACCTCGGCCTCCATGGAGTCCAGCCGGTTCTCCAAGTTCAGGCTCTCCTCCTGGGACGCCACACGGCAGGTCTGTGATGGCTGTCCCCGGCCAGGCCTGCTCCCCCGTCCTGCCTCCTCCTCCCCAGTCGTCCTCGCCCCTACCTGTAGATGGGCCTTGAGCTGCAGGTACACGCTGGTGATGTGCTCGGCCTCCTCCGCCTTCATCCGGGCCTTCTCTAGGCGGTTCTCCAGGTTGCGCAGGGTCTAGGGGGCGGCGGGGCTGCCCTGAGTCCTGCACCGGACCCCTCGGACCCGGTTTCTCCTCCAGGCTCCTGCCCCCCACCAGGCCGCGCCCGCCCCACCTTGGCCACCTCCGTGCCGCCGTCCTGCGCCTCTGCTATCTCCATCTGGCGCAGGTCGTGCTGCAGCTGGAGCTCGCTCAGCCGATTCTGCCGCAGCACGACCTGGTGCCGCAGGGCGTTGAGCTGCTTCGTCTTCTCGCTCAGCTGGCGATCCAGATGCTCCAGGGCCTGCTGCAGGGAGCAGAGCCCGCGGGGCGCCTGAGCCCTCCCACCCGGCCCGCCTCCTGGACTTGGCGACGTCCACCTCCCCGGTCTCTGCAGCGTCGGGGTGGGCTGCTGCGGCCTGCAGATCCTCGGTGCTATTTCCAGGAAACCCACTCTCCAGCCTTCCACCCGCTCCTGGGCTGTTCCCTCTCTGTCCCCTTTGGAGCAGAGCCCTAGCTCCTCTCTGTAGACACCCCCTCCCTTGGAGGTCTTCTCTGGGCTGTGGGTTTTTAAAACTCCACCGGGGCCAGCAGGTGGCATGGTGGTTAAGGCGCTGGACTCCCACATGGTAAACCATGGTTCAAGTCCCAGACCTGGCAGTTTGGAATTCCCTCCAGGCATGTGCGTGGGCCCATGATCCCAGGAGGAGAAGGGATTGTAGCATGGCCATTTCCCCTGGAGAGTGATCTTCTTACTGTCCCTGTTTCTCTCTGGTGAGCGCACATGCCCTTTGGCAAAAACCTTAAAACAAACAAACAAAGAATGGGGCCAGCAGATTGCGTGGTGGTTGAGGTGGCTGGATCCCACATGGCTAACTGTGCGGTTTGAGTCCCAGACCCGGCAGCTTGGAAGACACACGCGTGTGCATGTGTGCCCCAGATCCTAGGAGAAGGGATTGCAACATGACCATCCCTCCGGGGGGAGGGGGTGCTTTCTCTCTCTCTCTCCCCCTTCCTCTTTGGGAGCACACATAATCTATAACAAAGTTTAAAAAGATAAAAAAGACTGTTACCTGTACGAGACTTTTAAAAATTTTAAAAGGAATTATTTAATTTTATTTATTATTATTATTTTTTACCTTGACCAGAGACAGAGAGAAAGTGAGAATGCAAGCTGCCAGGTCTGGAACTCGAACTGCAGTTGGCTATGTGGGAGTCCAGTGCCCTAACCACCTGCCAACCCCAGAGATGATTTTTTTTTTGAACATCCACTAATGAACAAACGCCAACTCCTGCAATGAGCTGAACCTTGCAAAGAACCTCACAAAGGTTTTGTTTTGTTTTGTTTTGTTTTGCTATAGGGTGCATGCACTCGCCAGCCAGACAGAGACAGACAGACAGACAGAAAGTGAGAAGAAAATCCCCCGGCCCCCCCCCCCGGGATTGCTACACCATAATCCCTCCTCCATTCTCCTCTCGGGATCTTGGGGGCACGCATGCACACGCGCCCGGCGTGAATTTAAACCACCGGGTCCAGGACACGAACCACGGTCGACTACATGGGAGTCCAGTGCCATAGCCATTATGCTAACTGCTGGTTCCCTCCACTCTCTTCTTGGGATCCTGGGCACACATGCACATGTATCCGGCATCAGTCTCAAACCTCTGGGTCCGGGACTCGAACTGTGGTCAGCCATATGGGAGTACAGTACCTCAACCACTATGCCACCTGCTGGCCTGGACCAACACTTGTACCGCGTCAGGTTCAAGGTCAATGCAGAGTGAAGGTTTAATGGAGGAAGTTAAGGGCAGCGTGTGGAGAAGGGTTTGGGAGGATGAGGCCGCAGGCAGGGAGGCCAGCGGGGAGGGGACCGAGGCTGGAAGTGAAGGGACGTGGTCGGCGAGGTGGGAAGGGACCAACCTGGCTGGTCCTGTTCTTCAGGTATGGCTTCTCCGACTTCCACTCTCGAATCACTGCCTGGACCACTTTTTCATCTCTCTGTAAGGGGAGGAGCTCAGTCACGCCTTCCCCAGGGCACCTGCTTGGAGCTGAGCACTGCACCCCCATCCGCCCCCCGGCACCCCTTCCCTGTCTCTGCACCCTCACCTGGAGCAGGTCGGTCAGCTGCAGCTGCAGGGACTTGGTCACCTCACGCAGCTGGTTGATGGTCTCCTGGTTCTTCTTGATGTTCCACTGGGAGCTCTCGTAGAAGGCCTTCCGGTCACCCTCTGGGAGACGGGCGAGGTGGGAAGACAGAAGCACAGGAGCACTGGGGGGGGAGGGGGAGCTTCCCAGAGGGAAGACCTATCTGCAAGGCCAACTTAATAGTGTAATGAGGGACCAGCAGGTGGCATGGTGGTTAAGGTGGCGGACTCCCACGTGGCCGTGGCCAATCGTGGCTCAAGTCCTGGACCTGGTGACTCGCTTTTTCCCTCCCCCCCCCGTCTCTCTCTGGTAAGCACATGTGCCCTATAGCAAACTTAAAATAATAACAACGGGGACCTGCAGGTGGCATGGTGGAGGCACTGGACTGCCACACAGCAGATAGTGTTTCAAGTCACAGACCTGGTGGCTTGCTTTTTCACTTTATGATATATATATATATATATTTACCACGGTCGACTACGTGGGAGTCCAGAGACATAGCCATTACGCCAACTGCTGGTCCCCCAAGATTACCTTTTAATAATAGAAACGATAATGGCTGGGCCATCTGGTGGTGTAATGGTTAAGGCAACTGAATCCCACATGGCTGTGTGGTTCAGGTCCTGGACCCAGTGGCTTGAAAAGCATGCCGGGTATGTGTGCGTGCATGCCCAAAATCCTAAGAGGAGAAGGGAGGAGAGGGGACGGTGGAGTGACCATCACCCCTGGGGGGTGTGTGTGTATTTTTTCCCCTCTTTCTCTCTCTGCTTGTCAAGAAGCATCCTAGCTTCTGCCAGTAGCTGCAACAACCTCCCCACAACGAAGTGACAACCAGAATGTCCTCCAGACATTGCCAAATAGTGCCTGGGGGGGGGGCAACCCTGCTCCATGGAGAATCATTTGTTGACACTTTAGAGTATGTTAGTTACCACGTGCCGGGCACTGTTCTAAGCCATTTATACACTTCAAGTACTTTTTAAAAAAATAATTATTTTATTTAACTTTATTTATTTTATTTTGACCACAGAGGGACAGAGAGAGAAAGAGAGAGAGGGAAAGTGAGAAAACAAGCCACCAGGTCCAGGGCTCAAACTGCGGTCAGCCAGGTGGGAGTCCAATGCCCTTAACCACCACGCCACCTGCCAGCCCCGTACATTGCCCTGGTCCTAAACTCATTTCACAGCAGCAGAAATAGAGAGGAATTGGGTGACTCTTAGTCCTTCAAAGTCAATTATGCAGAGCCAGGATTTGAACCCAGAAAACCTAGCTCTGCAATCTTTGTTCTTCACCATTACATGTGTGATAGAGGAGTTGAAACTAGAGGCAGCTTTGAGCCTTGGCGGCTAAGGCATTGGGACTCCATGGCCAACTCTGCAGTTCGAGTCCTGGGCTCCAGGGCTGGGGAAACCCATAGGGGTCCTGGGGCTGTCAGGTGGCGTGGTGGTTAAGGGTGTTGGACTCCCACATGGCTGACGGTGGTTCAAGTCCTGGGCCTGGAGGCTTGCTTTCTCACTTTCTCTCTCTTTCTCTATCCCTCTCTGGTCAAATTAAAATAAATGAATGAGTAAATAAAATTAAATAAAGAATTCTTTTTCTTAAAAAAAATCTTCTTCTAAAAATAAATAAATAATAACAATAAAGTGAGACCAGTAGGTGGTGTGGTGATTAAGGCGCTGGATACTCCCATATGGGTGACCACGGTTCGAGTCCCGGACCTGGTGGCTTGTTTTCTCACTCTCCCTCTCTCTCTGCTCAAATCAAAATAAATGAATGAATAAATACATAAGTCTTTAAAAAATAAAGTAAAAATTATTTCTTTTAAAAGGGGGGGTGGGGGCTGAGGAACACCGTGAACGAGTCAGTGACCACCGAGCTAGCGCTGGGGGTCAGAAGGGGCGGTGGACACTTGTCCCCTGAGCGTCCTGGGCGCTCTGGGGCCACCTTACCCACCTTACCTAGGAGCTGAATCTTCCTCTGTAGCTCAGCCACCTGCGAGTGCGTGGAGGGCTTCTGCACCCCCGGGGGCTCGGGGCCCGCCTTGGCGTGGAGGGCGGGCCAGGCCTGGGCCGCGCCCCTGCGGCGGGGGACGCCCAGCTTGGCCGGAGCCTTGGCGCTCTTGGCCTTGGAGGCGGCGGCCGCCTGGTCCTGGGCGGGCACGGCGCTGGCGGAGGCCGCCCAGCACAGGGGCGACGTCATGCCTGGGTTGGGGCCGAGGGCCCCTAGGGGTCAGGGGGCCACGTGGGGTCAGTCGCCCTAGTTTGGGATCTGTCAGTTCGGGTTTCTTCTGCTCTGGGAAAGCGCTGTCCGACCGCTGGGCGGGCGTCTTCGCATCTCCCGGTTGCCAAGTAACCATCTCCCCCGCCTCCCTCCCTGTTTCCACGGAGACCGCCCGCGTTCCACGCCTCCACTCTCATTGGCTGACGCTGCGCGGAAGGGCGGTCCTAACGGGGGCGGGGCAGAGCAGCGCTACCGGCTGGTGTGTGTGTGGGGGGAGACTCTGGAGTCACGTGTCTCCGCTGGGTCGTTGGGGAAGAAAGGGCCTTTTTCAGGAACCTTCTCTTCCGGAGGCCGATGCGGCCACTCCCAAGATGGAGGCACGTTGCGCCGCCATTAAGCGCGAGCCGTCGGAATGAGCCTCTTTAAGGTCTCACAGTCCTGCCCAAGATGGCCGCCAGGGTTCCGGTGCGCCAGTCTTGCCACTCCCATCATGGCGGCCCCGCGTCTCCATTCCCCGTGCGCGGCGTGAGACCGGAAGTGACGCACCCTAGACTTTTCCGCTTTCTTTCTGCAGCAGGAACCTGGCTGCCGCGCAAGGGGGGCGCGGTGAATCTTGACCTTTGCCCCGGCCTCGTGTAGGTGATGAACTAGCAGGTGGGGGGGCACCCCGATTTCCTATAGGGAGCAATCGGAGGGTGTATATGTGTGTTGGGGGGTACGGTTGAGCTCTGTGGCCTATTGGCGGGAATTGGGTAACCCATTCCCCCGCGCCCCGTCCGATCGCTGGTCTTCTGATTTCTCACGATTGATTTAAGCAAAAGGAGGGTCCCCTGCCCTCGGGACTCCTATCGGAAGCAAAGGAGCCCTCATTTCCTGGATGCGATGGAGGACTCCATTTGGCTGGAAGTAGCCCTCCCCCACTGACCCGACGCCCCCTTTCTTGCTGCAGCGGCGTGGGGACCTAGTGTATTTCCCCGGAAGCCTGCTTTCTCCAGCAGAACCCGTTTCCGGTCTCGGAGCCCCACGATGTACCTGGTGCGATCGCTGCTGCTGCTGCTGCCGCCCCTGTGCTGGGCCGTGGAAGTCAGGAGGCCCCGGGGCGTCTCCCTCACCAGTAAGTCCCCCTCGTCCGCGGCCTGCTGGAGTCCGGTGTAGGAGAGGCCGACCGTAGGGGTCCTGGAATAGGCGCTTAGAGCCCTGTGCCTCAGTTTCCCCGCAGCGCTGAGCTGGCGGGTATGGGGGGCGCAGAGGGAGAATCTAGTGAAGGCGATGTGATCTTTCTCTCCTCCGCAGATCACCACTTCTACGACGAGGCCAAGCCTTTCACGTGCCTGGATGGCTCCGCCACCATCCCTTTCGATCAGGTGAACGACGACTACTGTGACTGCAAGGATGGCTCTGACGAGCCGGGTAAGACTTTTCTCCAGTCCTTCATCAGGTGTTTAGTGAGCACCTGCTGAGGGCCAGGTCCTGGGGGGAAGCGTGAGATTGGGCCCTGCCCTCAGGTGGCTGCAAGCCACCCACTCTGGGACTCGAACTGTAATTGGCCATATGAGAGAATCCAGCACTTAACTACTACTCTACCTGCTGGCTTGTTTCTTGCCTTTTTTTTTTTTTTTTTGAGAGGTTTTTGCTATAAGGCCCATGCACTTGCCAGACAGAAAGAGAGAGACAGAGAGACAGAAAGCCATAAATCACCCCCCTGGCGGGATGGGCACGCACACACATGCACCTGGCCTGAGTTTTAAGCCACCGGGCCTGGGATGTGAACCGCGGTCGACTACATGGGAGTCCAGCGACATAGCCATTACACTAACTGCTGGTCCCTGTTGTGGCTCTTCATCACCAGGTTCTAGTGCCAACCCGGTCACCCCACTCTGTTTGTTTGTTTATTTGCTCTATTGCACGTGGACCACCAGAGAGAGGGAAAGTGAGAAATCGCTCCCTAGGGGAGGTATCCATGCTGCAGTCCCTTCTCCATTTTCATCTCAGGATTCTGGGCATGCACTCAAACACGTCTAGCACAATTTTCAAACCACCAGGTCCAGGACTCGAACTGTTCAGTCAGCCATGTGGGATCCAGCGGCCTTAACTTCCACACCACCTGCTGGCCCACGTGTGCTCTTTTTCAGACAGGGTTGTACTGCGTCACCCAGTCCAACCTTAGGTGTGAGACCCTCTTGCCTCAGCCACCGGAGTAGCTGGGGTTACAGGTGCACCTGTTCACACTTGGTCTTTAGGGTCAGACGGGAATCAAACCTGGTTTTCCTGTGTGGTTTCAACCTGCAGAGCACAGCGTCTTACCAGGGTGTGCCATAGTGTCTGGTCTAGCAGACCCTGTTTTTCTTTTTCTTTTTTAAAAATTTATTATTATTATTATTTAATTTGACCAGGGAGAAACAGAGAGAGAGAAAGTGAGAAAGCCATCCTCCAGGTCTAGGACTCAAACTATGATCAGTCATGTGGGAGTCCAGCGCCCTAACCACCATGCCACCTGCTGGCCCCAACCCTGTTTATTTTATTTCATTTTATTTATGTATATTTTTGTTTTGCTATAGGGCATGTACGCTCTCTGGAGAGACGAGACAAAGAGAGAAAAAGAGAACTCAGCCCCCAGGAGGGATGGGCACACTGCAATCCCCTCTGCTCCATTCTCCTCTTGGGAATTTTTGCACTCGGGATTTGTTTTTGTTTTAATTTTATTCATCATCATTATTATTTTTTTACAATTTGACAAATTGTGAAAGCAAGCTGCCAAATCTAGAATTGGAACCATGGTCAGCCATGTGGGAGTCCAGCGTCTTAATCACCATGCCACCTGCTGACCCTACACTTGGGATTTTTTGCATACACATATTTGTGCCTGGCTGAGTTTCAAGCCATCGGCTTTGGGATTTGAACCATGCTCGGCCATGTGGGAGTCCAGTGCCTTAACCATCACGCATCTTGCTGCCCCACAGAGCCTTTTTTTTTTTAAAAGATTTTATTTAACTTTATCTATTTATCTATTTTAATTTGACCAGAGAGGGACAGAGCAAGAGAGAGAGAAAGTGAGAAAGCAAGCCACTGGGTTCAGGACTCGAACTGCGGTCAGCCATGTGGGAGTCCAGCGCCCTTAACCACCACGTCCCTCACAGAGCCTATTTTGAAGGGCCTCAGTGAGCAGGGACGAGGGGAATGCCAAGGGTTTTGATCCAGCCGTCCGCGGGTGTGCCTCTCTCCTCCAACATTCCTTGGTCGAGCTCTCTGTGTGCCCGTGGGCGGGGCTCTGTCCCTGGAGGGATGGGACACAGGTGGCCCGCGTGGACTTGGCCAACCTGCCCTGCCTTCTTCGCCACAGGCACGGCTGGCTGTGGCAGCTTCCACTGCACCAACGCCGGCTACAAGCCCCTGTACATCCCCTCCAGCCGGGTCAACGACGGAGTGTGTGGTGAGTGAGGATACCGGGGTGGGGCAGAGGATGCAGGAGGCCCGGCCTGGTCTCACCTCGGCCCCGCTTCTGCCTCAGACTGCTGCGATGGGACCGACGAGTACAACAGCGGCGTGGTCTGCGAGAACGCCTGCAAGTATGTGGGTGCGGCGCCCCCACCCCGCCTCCCGCACCGACTGCACGGGAGTCCAGCCACAGCCCTTACGCTAACTGCTGCTCCCCGTTTCTTGTTGTTTTTCTAACAGAGAGGGAAGCGATGGCCACCCCACAATCCCTTCTCCTCTCTTCTCTGAGAGTTTGGGGCACATGTGTCTGGCATGATTTTCAAGCCGCTGGGTCTGAGACTCGAACCTCAGATTTGTCTATGTAGGATCCAGTGCCCTAACCTCCATGCCATCTACTGGCCTAACTCTAGATCTTCTAAATGGAGACTAGATTGAGGACATGATGCCTATAGGCCACATTTCTTTATTGTCTGAGACTCTGTGGTGGTTTTTTAAAGTTTATTTAGTTACTTTGCTTGGAAGAGGAGAGTTGGGGGGGGGGGCGCCCAACAGGTCTTTGACGTGCCGTCATCCCGCCCTCGTCTCAGCCCGTCTGGATCACTGGCACGTGGTCACAGAGATCCCCTGTTCTCCTCTGGGGACTTTGGGCACTCACGCACCCCTGCCTGGCGTGGTTTTCAAGCTGCGGGCTTCGAGACTCAAAAGGACTCTGATTCCTGTCCTTTCTCTCTGTCTCTTGGGTGCTTACTTGAGCCCCACTCCCCACTGCTCCCTATCGCCTCCCCTGGCCCCACTGGCCCTCCTCCCAAGGGCAGGGATGAAGAACAAGGTCTAGGGAGTCTGGTGTGGGGTGGGGGCTTCCTCTCTGTATTTCCCAGCCTTGTGTTGGGGGGATTGTGGGTGGGCTGAGCCCTTTTGGACCTGGTGGGCCCTGAGTGCCTCCTGGTAGCGTCTGTCTGTCCCCACCCCAGAGAAAAGGGTCGCAAGGAGCGGGAGTCCCTGCAGCAGATGGCAGAGGTCACCCGGGAGGGCTTCCGCCTGAAGAAGATCCTTATCGAGGACTGGAAGAAGGCCCGCGAGGAAAAGCAGGTGAGGGGCCCCGCGGCCGACCCCAGGTGGTGTGGGCCCTGAGGCCTCAGAGCAGGCTGGCACTGCCAACTGCCTGAGTCCTGGTGTCCCTGGCGACCTCCTGCCTGTCCGGGCCACACCTGGCTCAGGTGCCCGCTGGGCGTGACTCTGGTCCCAGGTGGAAGGCACCTGGCTCAGGTGTGATCGGGGCCTTGGGTGTGAGGCTGCAGCGGGTAACTGGGCCTCTGATGACTCCTGGGGACAGGAGGGTGCCCTGTGTCCCACCCATGACCCCGTGAAGTGTCAGATGAGCTCATGGGTGGGCGGCTTCCCAGTTCTGGGGGGACCTGGCGGCAGCCGGGTTAGCACCATATGGAGGTGCTGGGGGTGCCTGGGTGTGTGTCTCCCCACCCACCCACCGTCCCCTGGCTGTTCTGTGGCCCACAGTCCTCAGTACTGTTCTGGGTCCCGCTCAACCCTCTGAGTGAGGGCCCCCTCTGCTTCCCTGCCCGAGGAAGGTTCCAGGGTTTTCCCTAACATCCTCCTGGCTACATGGGAGTTTAGCGACATAGCCATTACACTCACTGCTGGTCCCATCAAGGCATTGGGATGTTTTCCCAGAGGGCCGCGGGAGCACAGCAAGGGAGAGACCCCGGGAGGTGTGAGCTTTGACGCGATCCCCCGGCCATCGTGTGGCATGGAGGCTGGGAGGTGGCAGGCATGGGGTTACAGAGCAGGAGGAGAACCACTCCCTTGCCTCCTACCCACCCAGAAAAAGCTCCTTGAGCTACAGTCTGGAAAGAAGTCTCTGGAAGATCAGGTGGAGATGCTGCGGACAGCGAAGGAGGAGGCCGAGAAGCCGGAAAAGGAGGCCAAAGAACGGCACCAGAAGATGTGGGAAGGTGCGTCGAGGGCGGCCAGGACACGCACCCTCCACTCCTTTGCTCCGAGCCAGGGGAGGCCGCGGCCCGGGCCTGGCAGAGTCTTGCTTATTATCCGCAGTTGGCTTCCGCTGGGCTTTGATCATGGCACCTCGTTTCCTCACGGGTCCAGTGACCGTTTTTGTTTATTTTTTATTTACTTTTTTTCTGGAGAGGTTTTTGCTATAGGGCGCGTGCACTCGCCAGAGACAGAGAGACAGAGAGATAGAAAGCGAGAGATCACCCCCCAGGGGAGATGGCCATGCTGCAATCCCTTCTCCTCCATTCTCCTCTTGGGATCTTGGGCATGTACGCACACGCGCCCGGCGTGAGTTTAAGCCGCCGGGTCTGGGACTCGAACCACAGTCAGCAACATGGGAGTCCAGCGACATAGCCATTACGCTAACTGCTGGTCCCCATTTTTGTTTATTTTGTCCTTGATAATGTATGGGTGTGAGAGAGAGGTCTGGAAATGCCATGATCCCCCCCTCCCAGCCCGTTAGCTTGTCAGGATCTTGGGTGCCCGTGCACCCGGTATGTTTGACCTGGACATCTGAAACCACGGTTGACCACAGTTCAGTTTCCCACCAGCTGTGCCACAAGGCTAGTCCCACAGTCCCTTCTCCAATTCTGCATCCTGTCGAGATTTGGGGCACGCATGCGCCCAGCATGGTTTTTAAGCTGCCGGGCCAGGATTTGAACTTGTCGGCCATGTGGGATCTGGTTCCCTTAACCACTAGGCTATGCAGCCAGCCCTCCCTCCCCCAGACCTGCTCCTGGTAGGACTGCTGCCAGCTCCCACTCATTCAAACCCAGTCTCGGGGTACCTTGACTTCTCCCCAACCCTCAGTCTTTCCTCCTGGGCCCCGCCCTGGTCACTGCCTCACTCCTGCCTATAGCGTTCTTCCCTGATCGCCACGCAGCCCCTCCCAGAAGCCCTGCCCCACCCCCCTTGGCCTTCTCCCTGCCTCTGTCCATCCCTGTTTGTCCCCCCGAGAGTCACCTGGTCCACTCTGTCCCCAGCAGCGGGCCTGGCTCCCGGTGGGCGCTTGGTGACCAACAGCCATGTGGGTGTCAAGGGAGGACAGGTCTTGGGGTGGTGGCAGCTGGCCTGCTAGGCACGGGGTGACAGAGCCATCTCCCACAGAGCAGCAGGCTGCCCTCAAGGCCCAGCGGGAGCAGGAGCTGGCGGCCACCGCCTTCCAGGAGCTGGACGATGACCTGGACGGGGTGTGAGTGTGACCGCGCTACCCGCCCTCGGCTCCCCTTTCGTCTGCTCCGGCTGTCCA